TACTATTAGTGAAGATCTCTGGTTTTTATTATTTTGATACTAATATTTCTTTACTATAACTTCATTGTTTTTGATTTGCTATTATTGAAGCTTGATTGGTATATTTTATATTTGATTTTATTATTTTAATACTATATTATTATTGATTAAATTTTATTATCTTCTTTTATGCTAGTATGATTTAAATGCTTTTGAACTATTGTTATTGCTATACACCATGTTATATTTGCATTTTTTGCTCTTGGAATTGGTGAAATATTAGTTTTGTTATGTTAAATTTGTTGTGTTTTATGATACTAGTTAGTGATTAAAGTTAGTTTTTGCAATTAGATAAGTATTTAATAAAAAAAATTTTTTTAACAGAAATAGAATAATAAATCATGTAGTACATGTCTAAGAAGAGATGAAAGTCTAGTTGAACGAGATTGGGTAGAGCTTCGATCCTTAATCCGACTATCTGGATTGATCTTTAAATCCGGATAGATTCAGATATTTAGATCAGAGATTTTTACTCGGATTGGTAAAGAAATTAACGAACCTAAGGATATGCTACAAAGCTAGCTTTATATATCATCTAACGTGGATTCAATCCGGATTTAATAGAATCCGGATTGCCTGTCAAAAATAGGATCGAAGCTCTAAGATTGGGTAACGATCGGTTATTTTTATTAGTTATATTCATCATTCTTGTTTGGCATGATAACATCGTGTAGTTACTTATTGGACTTATAATTTTTAACCGATCCGTTTTTCTATATGTGTACGTGGCGTAATTATTGTGTGTATACGTGAACTAGATCGTATCTACTATTACTGTATTAATTGTGCATGGTTATTGTACTTGTGTTCATTTTCGGTTCTGACAAGTTTTCTGAATTTGGATAGCATTCCCACAAGTAGATGAGATTAAATGCAATTGCAAAAATGCGTACAATAAAAAATAATTGTACGTATAAAAAAATGAATTGCTCTGTGGTGGTGGTTAGTAACCATAAATGAAAAAAATCTATATTAAGAATCAACATATTTGTACGTAGCCATGGTTAGCCACATTCTATAAAGCCAATCAAATTTCAAGATCAGGTGTAACATAAAATCAAAATCGAATGATTTTTGATTATGAAATTATCTTCTACGTTCTAACAAAAAAAAATTCTTGCTAAAATTTGGTATAAGCTATGCTTTGCCCCAACACTAACCTTAACCCTAACCTTAATCTTGGGATTTATCAAAAAAAAAAAAGGTTTGATAGTCACGTTACACCTGATCTTAGAGTAGCCTACGGCTACAAATATATTAATTCTGGATTTAATTGGTGATGCGCTACGTTATAAAATAAAACTTTATCTTAAAGTGACTTAAATTCCAAATATACTCGGATAAAATAATTTAGAATCCACTTAAATTTTATTGTAAGTTAAATTGAATTCTTTAACAATTCGAATACGATTTAAGACAACCTATCGCTATGTTTATTCGAAAATCAACCTATGTGAATTCTAAATCCAAAATAATTCCATTCCGACGTACAATAAAACATATATACTAATAATTTCGAAAAACCCATTGTATAAGCGGGAAAAACTAAACCCTGAATATCAAATAAGATATATATTATAAATCTTACTCTATTATTAACTATTTTTGCTAAAATTGCAGATGAAGGTATTGACGATTTATTAAAAGTACTAATATTTTTAATTGATGATGAGGATGCTATATACATTTGGTTGGCTAACTTCAATATAGATAGATGTTTTACTAGCAATTACAAATTTCTAAAATATTATTTATCCTATCAAATTCTCTTGAAATGAAATAATCATTATATAATATATATATGTATATATTTATTTATTTATTTATTTATTTATTAAATTTTATATGTATAAATTGAACTAAACTTAATACAGTACGTATTATAAACATAATGGCAAAAAACTTTTTTTATCCATGACCCAATAACCGATTTACGTATGAACCACCACGCCCATATTACATTATTAAATTGAGCATAAGGATATTTATTTTCCATACATAAAAAAAATTTTTTTTTTCTTCCTCAACCAAATTCAACTATTCTAGTAACTATCCCAGAAAAGAATAAAGTTATCAAAAAAAGATTATTTGGTATAGAGAAAGAAAAGGCATACATAATTTTTTTTTGTTTAAATAGATAATTTTTTTAAGAGATTATATATATATATATATGAACATATATCCATTTTTTTTTTTTTTTTTTTTGAAAAGATTTTTCAAGATTCTAAAAGATTTTTTGTTGAAAAATATAAACAACTCCATCAAGATGATGCTTCTGGCACAGCACAAAATTTCTACCATATTACGGTTAGACAAATTTGATTGTCTGAAGCTATTGCAAAAACTCATTTCAAGATCGAAGTAGATTGGAATTGTAGCAATGGATTTTTAATTAAAAAAAATAAAGATTTATTTGTTTTATATAGGTAATTCCAGATTTTGTGAACAAGGCAGTTAAACTTATACAACAGTCTATAATTCATGTTTATCATGATGACATTGTATTGAAAGATTAAGAAATGATGTTTACGAATCAAGAGAGTCAAAAAAGGATGATTACAAATCAACAAAGTTAAGAAGTGAGAATTACGAGAGAAGAACTTATTAGGATTCAAAATACGATTCTTGCGAAATTATTGCTCTCAGAAAATCGCAGTATGTTTAACTATAAAGCCAAAAAAATTTGACCATATGTCCATAATTATTGAATAGAAAATTAAGTTATCTTTCATTAATTTAAAATAGCATGTCACAAAGATCTTTTACAATGGTACATAAAGCAATATAAAGATACTTTAACAAGTGAATCAGAAGTTGAAGCAGAAGAGAAAAAATTTAAACTAGTGGTGGACCATTTACTTAAGGTATTCATTTATTACATGAATGTAAATTTGAGTAATGCGAATTATTTAGTATTTATTATGATTATTGTTTTTATAGGAAAAATATTTGCAGAA